GGGGGGGGGGGGGGGGGGGGGGGGGGGGGGGGGGGGGGGGGGGGGGGGGGGGTAGACGCAATACCAGTACACTAGAATTTCTACGGAACCCCCCTGGAGAGAGAGGGCCTGGGCCTGACGTTCGCCCATTGGTTGTTGTGACTGTTTTTTTTTTTTGATGCGTTCAGGTGTTGGTGGAGGTGGGTGGTGGTAACCTCCTCGGTTGTGGCTCTATTATACATCGCAGCTGCTGTTGTTCTGGTCGAGTTGATACGGTGTGGTCGTTGTCGTCGTTGTCGTTCGTCGTCGTCATATTTTCTCCCATAGTAGCCTGATTCCCGGGTAACCTACCCCTGACCCCAACCCCTTGTTGATAGAGAAACCTGCGAGAAATGGAAATATACGAGAAAATAGAACAGGGAGGGAGGGGGTACGCAGACATACCCTAGTCCCTCAAATCCCAACCCTAACCCAACTTCCCCGATTGCATTGCTTTATCCAACATGTTAACTTGATATAGAAACACCCTGTGAAGGCTACTTGTGTTTTAGTCCTTTGTCCGATTCTCTCTCCTCCCTCCCTCCCTCCCTCCTTCCCTCGTTCGTGAGAACCCGGCGTGCACCGTTCCGGCTTTGTAGGGATGCGAGGTCAATGGTCTAACGAATACGGCTTGCACGAGTATGAGTACACCCCTCCCCCCCTCCTTCCCTCCCTCCCCCTCTCCTGTCCATTCTCCTCGTCCCCGTGATCCCGGGAGCAGATCGCGGCCATCATGGTGTCGAGGTTCATGGTGATGCCACTGGTCGCGGCTATGCTTCTCTTTTCCGGCGCCAAGGCAAAGCTGATCCCGTATGACAAGCTGGTCTGGTTCGTCCTCCTCATGGAAGGGTGAGAGCTAGAAGAAACAAATATTTCATGAGTAGGAGAAACGTCCATGAGAAAGAAAGAAAAATTGTTATATATACATATATATTTTTTCACAGTAGTGTTTTGCGAAAGGAATTACTTCATGAACCAGCATGTTTTTTGTTGCGTACGACAAGCTGGTCTGGTTCGTCCTCTTCATGGAAGGGTGAAGAAACAAATACTCCACGAGTAGGGAAAACGAAAAACGTCCAATACAAGGAGCAGTGTTTTGTGAGAGGAATATTTTCACAACCTAAACACCTATGGTAATAGCGTATTTTTGTTGGATACGACAAGCTGGTCTGGTTCGTCCTCCGCATGGAAGGGTGAGAGAGAGAAGAAAAACAAAACAAGGGGAGAATTTTTTTTCTTGTAAGCAAAGCAAACGTTTCGTTGCAGGCAACTTCTATTATTTTTGGATGAAGAATGTTTTTTGAAAAGGACCCCCACAAACTCATCTCCGCTGTCTGCTGCTGCGAAGTGCTTTCGCCCGAGGCTGTACTTGTGTCCGTGTGTTGCTATCCTCACTTACTCCGCTGCCTGCTGCGAAACTGATCACGCCCGAGGCTCGACTTGTGTCCATATGTTTCGATCTCCACCAACTCAGGTGCCCCCCCCTCCCTGTTTCGGCATTTTTTCAGGTGCATGCCGTCGGCGCAGAACAGCGTGGTGATCCTGCAGATGGAGAAGAAGCCGGAGCTGGCCTCTTCGATGGCCAAGACCCTGACGGCGGTGTATCTCCTCTCGGCGGTGCCCATCGCCTTCCTGCTGTCCGCCATCCTACAGTTCGTGCAGCTCTGATTGGTTCGTATTTCTCCCCTCTTTTTTTTAATATAACGCAGTAAATCCATCTCTTTTCAAACATGAGGATCTGCTCGGATTGGATCGTGTTTTTATTCTATTGTCATCATATACAGCGAATCCACCTCTATCCATAGATGAGGGTCTGCTCTGACTGGTCCGTTCGTTTTTTTTTTCGTTCCGAACGATCTGATATCTTGGGGGTGAAAACAACACCGATGAGCGGCACTCTTGCCGGCGTGCACCTACCGGCCGTTTTCTTTTTATGATGTGGTTCCGGTTCGGGATGATTTAGAGGTCAGGCTTGGTTCATTTCCTGTTCTCGGGGGGAGGGGGGGGTGGTTCTGTGCGGTCCGATTGTTGCCGACTCGTTGGCAGACAAATTCGAATCTGAGAGATTCGACGCGCGGCGGCTCGTCTGGCGTCCGATCACGTGACTTCTCTGGTTGTCCCCCCATCGGCACACCCTTTGTGGTGGTGGTGCTGCTGCTGCTGTTGCTGCTATGCTATTGACTAGTTGTACCGCGCTGTAAGAATTGTATCGGGGACTCGATTTTTGTTTAGAACGAACACGACATGAAAGGAAGTCGATTGCTGAAGTCTTAGCCCACTTGACCAGAGAAGACGTGTCGACGTTCGTCCTTCCGGTTGAACAAGGTGCAGCAATGCTTCGCCGATGGTTGGATTTTGCTGGAATGATCGGAGGTTCCTTCAGAAGTCATTTGAGACAGATGCGAGTTTGGACGCTGCATGGTTTTTTGTTTTTTTTTTCTTCTGATACTGGCTTGGTGCTTTTCTGCGAAAAAAGGTGGAGGTGTTTTGAGTCGGGCAGCGCTTACAAAAAAGAACGAAAATGAAGCGGCCATCACGCTGTTGGGGGGTGCTTTGGCCTTGGGTCAGGCCTTGCGACGGTCGGCACGCTAGCCGGATACACTACTAATTCGTTTGTATTGGTTCACAAACAAAAAAGTTACGATTTAAAACTTGGCTCTTCGTTCTCAACGGGTCCCAACGGGACGGACGATCAGCCATTATCCTGTTGGGGATGCTTCGGGGCGTGGGATAGACAGCCCTGCGGTCGGTTTCACGGTATATTGTACCCTGGCGGCACAGTAGGACTGTAGTCTGCCTCCTACTGCCTAGAAGCAGTGCAGGCTTCCGGGGAAAGGGTCAATCTTCCCTGCTCTCCTGTCCGAACGCCGCGTACGTTCTGGCCGTGTGTTGTGTTTTTTATCGTAGACTTAAAAATCAGGGGTTTTGGCTTCACCCCTCTCTATCTCTCTGTGTGGTGGATCATCGATTTCGTTTCCTTTGTTTGTTGCTCGCTGTTCGGATTTCTTGTCTTTTCATTTTTTTACTTTTTTTTTTCTTTTATTTTTTTACGAGCTGCTCTAATAACAGAGAGATGCTGTATTCGACTGTTCAAGGTTTTCGATGTTGGGTGTCTTCTCTTTGTAGCACTGTTGTCTGTTTCGTTTAGTCTTCCCGGCGTTACCAGGGAGAACGAAGCGTGTGGTCTCGTGCTGTTTGCCACACGTACGCCGCTGCTGCTGCTACTGCTGCTCTGCTGCTGTTGGTGGTGGTGCCGTACGCTACTGCTACGTGCTGCTGCGTGCTGCGGCGTACCAGTTTTGTTTTGTTTTTCGGGGGAGACTTGCGGCTGCTGTGTTTAGTGCTGTAGTGCTCGCTTGTAGTGCTTGTGGCCTTGTGTAGTCGGGGGGCGAAACTGATGTCCTTCTTGTGATCGTCTCGTCCAAAAGGGAGGTGAGGGCGAGATTGGGGAGAAAGTGAGAGCGAGAAAGAGAGAGACAGAAAGACAGGAGGTCCTCATATTCGTTGTTTGTGATTTTCTCTTGGCGAGGGAGAGAGACAGGGCGGAGGAAGAGGGAGGGAGAGGGAGGGAAGAGAGCGAGGTTCCGGTCTTCGTGAGTCTCGGCCTGGAGCGTGCCGATAGTCTTCGAGACTGCCACAGGCAGACTAAAGTTCAGAAACATCGCCCGATTCGTTGACCCCTGTGCTGCTGCTGTGCGCCTTCGGGAGCTCGCGACTGATTACGCTTTCCTGCCAGACGTCACGTGTTCGCTCGTTCGCCTTACTCATGCATGTGAAAATTGCTTGGGGTCTATCAAACTGCTAAAATACAATACTTTTTTGTTTTTGTTTTGAGGGACTTGGGCTCTTTGTCGCAACCACGAAGCCCTCAGATGCTCTCATCGTGGGTTGTTTTTGGTTCCTCCAGTGCGCTTGACATTCTCCTCAGATGTTTCGTGTTGTTTTGGCACAGAGCAGAGCCAAGGACAGCGTAGACCAGTACTGGTCTTCTCCTGCTCACCTGTAGATACATATCAGTAGATGATCCGCTCTTCTTGACATTTCGTGGCCGGGAACTAAGAATTTTGTCGGGATGCAGCAAGCAATGGGGGGCCCCAAAAAACTTCGGCATGTGCCCGGCGCATCGACCGGCGCTAGGTATCCAGGGGGGCCGGCTCTGTTCAAAAGCTCCGAATGATTTGGTGATTCAATCTGTACACGGCAATTAAT